CCCCTGCTCCCTGACCCAGTCCTTGAGGCACCAAAGCAATACTAATTTAGCTTGCGGCCTTAAGTTCCAGAAAAGCTTATCAGGATGTTGGTCCCGGCCTGAAGGGTTAAAGGACAGTCAAGCCACATACCAAGCCAAGGACTCAATCCTCCCCAAAAGTTCCCATTAGAAGCCGAGATAAGGATATTTTCCAAGGCCTGAGCTCCTGCAGGAGGCAGGGTGTTTACTCTGAAAAGGCATTCGTAGGACCGTGGAGGAATTACTTAGTATTGGGCTAAGGGAAGAAATGTGGGGCGGGGTGCTATTCAGCACAATCAACAGTGCCTGTATATATTGAGCCGAGAAAATAAACTCGGGGCTGGCAGCTGGCAACAGGAATGAGCTGCAGCCCTCCCGATCCCATCTTTTTTGTGTCTGTCTTTTCTTCATCCTCACCCCTTCCTCAGGACCGTTCGACTCTGCCGGCGGGCTCCGGCAGGACACCTGGGTTTGGGGACACTGAATCATACAGAGCACGCTGACACCCAAGCAGGTACTCCCTACTTCACACCATAGTCCATTACCAGAAACACATCCATTTCCCTCCATACACAGGTGAGTAAGTGGCTGAAGCTCTTTGAGCCACTAAATGACATAGAGAATTCTTTGCTTGTGTCACATGTAGATGGAATGTTCAAACTGCTGACTCGGACAAGCTGCAAACGGAAGAGTTGAGCACATAACGCCATGAAAAGCAAAAATGTACATGTTCTTTATCTGGTGGGTGAGCACCCAGTTGGGAACCCATGATGAGAGGGCTGTTGTGCTTTAATGATAATCACAGAAGAGGGTAACACTAGGTTGCCCTTAGAATGTTTACTGTCAACCCGAGGAAAATCTTTACGCACACTTGTCCTTTTTCCTGCTGTATCTGTATTATATTCTGCAAAACTCTAGTACACTGGTGATAAAAACATTCAAGGATTTTAATCCCTAAGGACAAGAAGAAAAGTTGTCGTCAAGCACTTGTCGACCCAGTTTCTAAATGTTGAAAGACAACGGAGCTGGGCACTCTGATCATACGCTCAGTCACGTCCTAACCTGAGAGCCCGAGAGGGGGTCCAGCCTGACTTACCTGGGGGTCCTGGGAACCCTTCACGACCTGGATCTCCTGGGAAACCCTTGAGTCCTGGTGGTCCATCAGCTCCTGAGAATCCTGGCATCCCTCTGAGGCCTTTGACACCTAAACAGCCCAAAGAAATCACAACATCATATCAGAGCCCCATGAGGAAACCCTAACAGTAGGTGAACAGGAGGTGATCAAGTTTGGCACCTGACTTCATGTCGTCTCTTATGAAACTGGAAAATGTTGAAGCCGGGGGATGATAACCCTAAAACGGAACCTCTGACAGCCAGCCACACCCAGTCACAATCCCACAGACCCAGACAGCAGGCCCCATCCATCGGTGAAGGCCACCAGCTGGCTTGCCCAGAATCCCAGGAGGGACCGACTGGTGGCCGGCTCTCCCTGCTGAAGCTGGAAAGATGGGAAGAGGCGACCACTTCAAATGCATACGCACCAACACCAGGACACAGGGATTAGGAACAGGCAACCATGACACCAACAAGGAAAACTAACAAAGCTCTAGTAACCAACCCTGGAGAACTGGGGGGTCTAACAAGTGCCTGACAAAGAATTCAAAACGATTGTCCTAGAGAAGCTCCCTTCATACAAGAGAAGACAGATAGGCAATAAACAAAATCGGGAAAACAATACATAGAAGCTATAAGAAAAAAACCAAACAGAAATCTTGCAGCAGAAGATGATAATGACTGAATTAAAACAGCCTCTCTGGGCTTAGAGAATGACCGCCAGTGTTTAAAAGTCATGTGTAAACACTCAAACTGTAATAAGAATAATGCTCAATATTACGGTTCCACGGTGTGCTGATTAAGGGCTCAGAACGCCTGGGTGTGAATCCTGATTCTACCTCTTCTATGTGTGTGAACATGTTGCTGAACCTCTCTGGGCCTCAGTTTCTTCATGTGCAAAATGGGGAAATAATATCTACTTCATGCAGTATTGTGAAGATTAAATGAACGAGGTTATTACTGTAAAATATCTGAGCAGTGTTTGCACAGTGGGTGAGCTCTACAAAAGTTCTCATGAAAAGGCCGGAGTGCCTCACCAATGTCTCGAAGCTGAACTTCCATGCTTTTTCACCCAATTCACAGCTTTTCCTCAGAAAGCGGATGCTGTGTGACACCCACCCACACTTCCCTCCTCAGAAAGTATTCGATGGCAGAAGTGAGCCAGAAGAGTCAGACAGGACGCAAGCTAGGGGCTCTCAGCCATGGGCGCCCTGATCAGGAAGTGAAACTGACCAGCCATGGCAGGACCATATCCGGAGCCCCAGACGCCCAGACCCAGACTTCTGAGCCCTATGTGGTGACCAGGCCTCAGATTGTGTCTCATGTGTGGAACTTCGGTCCTCTCTGACCACAGAGTCTCCATCTGTATAAGAGGTCCTTGCAAGAGGCAAGGTTTGCAAACTGACAGTAAGCACATGTTTCTAAACACAGGGGTTTCTAGGGAAAAATTCCCCATATTTGTTTCTGTTTCCATCAGGTCCAGGGTCAATGTCAAGAGACACAAGATTGAAAGCTCTGCAGACTGGCTTGAGCTGAGTAGATCCTTTATCAGGATTCCCAGGCCTGGGACGATTTCATTCTGCAGTCAGGGCTGCAGAAACCTGACGCCTCCAGGTTCACTCAGGGGCACAAGAAAGAACCGGAAAGACCTGCATCTGCAGGGCACCCTCCCCCCTGGTGAGCTGAGAGGAGCTGCATGAGTACAGGCCTGAGGCTAGGCTCTGAGGTTTGGTCAGCTTCCTGAGTGGCTGAGTGGTTCTCTGCCTCCTGCCTATGGCCCCTCTGACACCCTCTCCACTCACTCTAGACCCTCCTGGAGCTTTTGGAAAAGCACTGATGTCTGGAAGGTTGATTACATCCACTTCTCTAGGACCATATTTTTGAGTGGCAAGGCACTAGAAGGCTGCCTGAGTTCCCTCCAGCTTCAATAGTGTACACCTTACAGCAATTCATTCCACCTCCCCCATCGCATTCTGCAAACTTTTACAATACCTTAAACATTTTTAATAAGCATGGGAAACTAGAAAGTGCCCTGTACCCTTCATCCAGAGCCAATATACTCAGATTTGAAAAATGTTGACTTACATTACGTCTAATGAAGGACTTAGACTAAACAGGAAGTAAAACTTCAGACCAGCTAAATGAAATAACTCCTAATCTATTGGACATCTTTGATCTGAACCTTTTCATATGGGAAGCAAACTTAAGACATTTTTTCCAGGTGTCTCTGTGCCTGCCTGGTCTCAGGCTCTCAGGTAGCACAGCCAGCACACCTGCCTACTGCTGGCAGCCTGGTGCTTCAACCAAGTGCTTCAGGAATCACCGTATTTCTCTGTAAGTAGTGAGAACAGCAGCCTCCTCTCTGCAGCATGTGAGGCAGGTGGGCAGGGGGTGTAGAGTTGCACCGGTACAGTAAGAATCCCAGCCTCTCCATGCTACTCTCCTGTAGGAAAAGGCCGCAAACAACAAGCAAACTCTGAAGGAGTTGGGTAGCAAGCTTCCCCAGAATCGCAGAAATCCCCTTGAAAATGAGGGAGACATTTCTGACAGGAACTGAAAACAGATCCTTATCGATCTGGGAAGCTTGCCCCCAGGAGGGTTATGGCCTTAAGAACAAATGTGAAGCATTAGCATAAAACAAAGCCATTTGTTTATGCGCATTTCATAGTTTCTACTGATCACTATCTCTCACACCTGCCTTTCTGTAGCTCACAATAAAAATCACTGGATGGCGAGGAGGGTGGTTGCAGCCTCCAGAGCCTCCACCCTCTGCATCTCCACCTGAATTCTACATTCTCCGGGTCTCGAGTTCTCCTCCCGCGAGCACAACACTCTCCCTTTAGAAATGTCCCCGCAGGCCATTAGGTTGGGCTGCTGCTCTGCCATCATGTAGAGGGGGACAATCCAGCATCTTGGAGTTTTCCGTCTTTTTCTACATGAGGGCAGAATGGGGTTGTCCCCTTGGGCCAGGGAGGTGTGCTGTGTGTGCACCCACCAGCTCTCACTGGGGGGCCCCAGTTCCCGAAGGTCTTGTCAGCAAGGCTGGCTGTGGGAAAACACACGGTGTGGCAACCCAAGAGTCACCCTTACTCACACTCCAAATAAATGCATAGATTATCCAAAATTCCCCACTGATAGCACGATCCTCTTTGACTATTACCTCCCCAGTGCAATGGCATGATTTTAAGCAGACCCTTGTCCTTGACTGGGGCAGAGGAGGAAGGAGCAGTCAGTATTAGTCAGTGCCAAAGGGTGCTCTCTCTCACACAAGACTGGACTTCTCTCATCACTCTGACAATGAAACAGGGGTCTGGTCAAACTCAGATGTATAGAACTATATTGGTGCAGAATTCCAATATATTTGTTAATCTAGAAATATACATGTAATTGATGAACAGAATTAAAGGGCCTTGTACCGATGAAGTCCTACATGAATATAAAGTTTGACAGATATAATAAAGCAAAAGATACATTTTTCAAGTTATTCTGAAATGACGGGGTATTGGATGAGTTCAATTCATAAGTCTGTTTCTGCCAAGAAACCCCAGTTTACAAAGCAGGAAGAGCCTAGATCACCTGTCAGGTGAGGAGACTAAGTTTCAGAAGCAATAAGTGAGTTACCCAAAGCCTCACTGCTAGTTAGTGTTAGAGCTGGACTCCATGGCAGGCTTCTGGCCGCATGTCTCATGTTCTCAACACTGAATTAGCCGAGTGACCCCAGTGGGTGCTCGAGGCGCTCTTCCCTGCCCTACCGTAGCCAGAAGAGGAGAGGAGTCAAAAGGCCGAACGAACTCCTGCTGATTGCTGTGGTCTGAGAACTCGCCGGGCCTAGGTTGACTGACACAGACCTCTGAGCAGCTGTGGTTGCCTGGGCCCCATCTGTTATCTCTGTAATGCCATGCCGTGAGCGGGCACATGGATGGCTGTAGACACGGCTCTGTCATGGGGAACCCTTAATTATTTCACGTGGGCTCTTTGGATGGAATGATTGCTTTGTGCCAGCAGACAAAAGCCCAGTTCCTCCTAGACTGCAGACACAAATTCCTAGCCCTGCTTATTTCTGCTTTCATCTCAATCAAAACCCCAAAGAAATGATCTTCTCTCGTAGGTTTTTCCCATGTATCCACAGACTGATTTCCCTCTCAGTCTTAAAGAGGCACTTCAGTCTCTGCCACTCTTTGGGTGCCCACCAAGGTTTGTGCTACAGCCGAGGCTGAGTCCTGTGTAACAAGAATCTTCTCCTTTACACTGGGGTTCAGCTAGGTGTCAATTACCACACACATTTCCTGTACTGATGAGTAAAAGTCTGCTTCCTTTAGAAGCTACTGGTTGGTAGTAGAGTGGCAAGATGGCAGAACACGGTGACATCCAAGGGCGGAAAGAAATGCAGGGGGCAGAGGAAAGATGTACAGAGGAGAAAGAAAAATGAAGATGCGAACGGGAAGGCTGGAAGTGATCTCTAGTTTACCAAAGCACATTACCTATGGGTCCTGGGGGTCCCGGCTGGCCTGGCAATCCCTTGGGCCCTCCAATACAGTCTGGGAAGAAAGACAAAAAGAGATGAGCTGAAGCAATCTTTAATGCGAGTCTCACAGCTTTGGGATATTGCCAAGGTCAAGAGCACCAGCCATGAAAACCGGCTACCATTTTATGATCAGAGTAATTTAATGAGTTAATTAATCCTGATCTGATGTAAATAAAAGTTTAATTTTATTGTGTAATGGAATTAGAATATTAATATAAAATGCAAATAAGGTAAGTCCAGTTAAATAAGAACTGGCACTGTGCTGGCAATGATCCACCCCTCATTTAGGGCAACACCTCAGCATGGCTGAGCTAACCTAGTTCCTCCCTAGTGAGCCAATGTGACTGCCTTTTTATCTGGAAATGCCCACCAAAGGATGAAGGCTGTTTCTGATTTCAAAAGCAATTCTTTGATTTCTCCTTTGTGATTTTGAATACTCTCAGAATCAGCCACAGCAATAACTGCTTTGAGCCATGTAACATGAAACCTGAGTGGCAGCCACTTCTGGTTGGTGTGGCCAGGCAGTGACATCAGGTGGGGGTATTTTGTTGTGTGGCCTTTGCCCGAGAGAGCCCCTCTGCAGGTACAGCAATCCTTCCAGAATGTCCTTCATCTGCATGCCTAGGATTTGGCTAGGCTCCTACCTTGACAGAGGCTTTGGACTCCTCTGCCACACTGGGAACCCAGGAGGTCAACCTGGCCAGCCCAGGTCATAAAAAGAAAGGAACCCACTGTCTTTGGGCGGCCTGGCCTCCAGCCCGCAGAGCCTCATACCCAGGGGCTTTCTCACATCTATGTCATTGCCAGTTGTCTGGAAACTCTGGGGTTTGCCATTCTCCACACCCTTGCTCTGAGTGCTGGGTCCATTCCCACACCTCAACCTCAACCTCATGCAGGAGACCCACAGATTCTGATGCTACTTCTCTAACTCTTTATAGAGGCTTTGCCTCTCCAATGCCGGCCAGGCCAACCTCTGGATACCCTTCCTCTCTTCTCTCCCACCACCATGCCTTGGCTCAGGGTTGTTTCCATATCCTCTTCCTGTCTCTCAGCCCTCATTCCTTCTAGCGTTCATTATCACTAGACCAAATTCTGCTCTCCTATCTGGACTGGCTCTTCACCCTGCATAACAAGCAAATAATTCACAGTTGCTTTTTACACATTTACAGACAGAAAGCTGAATATATGCATATATTTTAGGTGTAAAAATATATCTGTTGAGTTCTTACCAACATTGTAAATTGATGCTTTATATTGGTGGGAAGACTTGGTCACACTATATGCTATTATACTTGCCCTTCCTTTGATTCTCAGTGAAATCGGATGGGGTGCCAGCTCCCAGTTTTGCACATATGTACATTTCTTGCTGCAGCTCCATGCTCACTGCAGGAGCTCGCAGCAGTTGTTGACGAGTCACATATTTTATAACCCAAAACTTTTAAAGAGTTCTAAAGCCGCCTGATCTTCATGACAATACCTGGCTGGACGCCTTGCTGTCCATCACCTCCGATGGGCCTTTTCACACCTGTATCACAATCTGGGAGCAAGACATGATGACAGAGTGAGGCAAATTTGGAACAACTGAAAATGATTAGCTTATCTATGAGTGTGTGTGTGTTGGTGGTGGGAAGGCTGGGGGATGGGCAGGGACTCCCAAAGCCCATGACTTCAGCACTAGAGAGAGGCTGTTGGTGGCTCTGAAAAAACCCTGTGGTTGGGTATCATTTGTATGTGATATGGCATGGTTACTGGACCCCACTGGGGAATTTATACACTTCCCCAAAGAGTAGCACTATATGTTGAAGCACTAAACAGTGTCTTGTGATTTTGAAAGATAAAAGAAAGGATCCCTCATACCTATTTGTCCTGGAGGGCCTGGTACGCCGGGAGGTCCGGGTAAACCTGGTGGTCCAGGTAATCCAGAATCTCCTGGGAAACCACGCTCCCCTTTGCGGCCTGGCAGGCCCAGTCCTGGAGGACCCCTTTCTCCTGGGATGCCCTTGGTGCCGGGGGCTCCTGGGTAGCCTGCGTCCCCTGTGGGGCCTTTAATGCCTTCACCCTGTGAGAATATTCAGTTTATTTTTTAAAGATACGTAAACCTCAAAGAGTATATTCCCACTTCCCTTTTCCCACTCACCTGAGTTCCATGCTACAGACACAGAGCAAAAAGACAGTGGAGATTAATAGGAACCAATAGTCATGGTCTAACCAAGTCCCAGAAGGGCAGATTTTATAATAATCATGAGCAACACAACAGAAGATAGTTCTGGAAGGCATACAAATCTATTTGAATATTAATTTTCCTCTTTCCAAACCACTAGAACCTGTGCATCCACTGGTACCTTCATTCCCAGAAAGAATTCTGCATAAGAACAGTGAGGCAAAGGTCTGGGTAAATGAGAGTAGGAATGCAATATTTTTATTGTTATGAGTTAGCATTTGTGGAACATCTACTATTCACAAGGGCTAATGTGTTATTAAAGGAAAGTAAGTCTTTAATTTGAATAAGAAAGAGAAGTGTGCTCACGAGAAATAAGTAGAGATGATAGGATAAAAATAGCAGGAAGCGGGGATGTACCCGGCAATGCCAGGGCCTGTTAATGAAACTACCAAGCAGGCGCAGAACGCTGGGGTGCGCAGCGGAGTGATCAGAGGGGAGGGGGCTGGAGGACTGGGAAGTTAGGAGTGATGTCTGCAGGGTCACAGGCAAACCACAGGACTGGCTTCACATTGAATGTGTCTGAACGAGCTCCTACAACAGCTGTGCAATTATGTCCCAGCCCAAACAAGTTGTTTTGTTTCCAAAACAAGTTGTATATTTTACAACTCATCCTAGAAAAATAGTGTTCCAATATTTGATTTGGGGGTGGTGGTGTTTCATTCTATGCTACACTAGGAAGAATATTTGTTATCTCTTTGACTTTTAAATGTTCGCTCTGGGCTTGGCTTCTCACCTAACTCACTGTGTCCTAAAAAACATAATTTCTGTTCGTTAAAAGAGAATGGGTTACATGGGGTGAGTTTAGTGTAGTGCTAGCACCATCCCCTTCTGAGATGTTTAAGAACGTGACTGAGGATGAGCGCTGAGCTGGTCCCACACCATTGGCTACTCACAGGAGGGCCTGGGAGGCCTGGGAATCCATCGAGCCCATCACGCCCCTGGATGCCGTCGTCACCTTTCAGACCAGGAATGCCTGGGACACCAGGTTGTCCCTTCTCACCTGGGAAAGAATGTGCAGTGTGACTTTACTCATGCAGCTGCCACAGAAGGAGAAACAGTGCAAGAATTGCTTGGCCAAGGAAGACTGACCTTTGGTGGTAATTGTTCTAGAATCTCCCTTTATTCCTTTGGGTCCAGGAGGTCCAATGTCACCAGGGATTCCCTGTGGAAACAAACACAAAATTTCTTCCTCCTTTATACTGTTTAAGCGTGTCTGGGAAGATGATGATTTTCCGTTCATACAACCCAAGGGCCATGACCTGTCGTCATGTCCAGTGTTGTCCAAAAGAACTTCCTGCCGTGTCAGAGGTGCCCTATACCTGGCTGTCCAACACAGTGGCCTCCAATCATAAATGAACACTTGCAAGTAGCCAGTAGGACTGAAGAACTGAATTTTTAATTTTAAATAATTACAAATGAATGGAAGCAGCCACACTTAGCTGGACAGTGGAAATCAGGGCCTTACTACTCAAAGTTTGGCCTATAGACCAGCAGCGGGAACCTCTTCTGGGAGCTTGTAAAAAACACAGAACTTCAAGCCCCACCTGGGGCAAATGAACCAGAATTTGTATTTCAACAAAGTCCTAGGATTCATATATTCATGGACTGTTGAGAAGCAATGATCTAAAACATAAGGTGCTCACTCTTAACCTCAATTATTTACGATCTGAGCAGATAATGAGCCTCCGAGTAAAAAGGATGGCAATGTGTGATTACTAATATTGAGAACAATAAAGAGTATTGGAAATGGAAATTATAGTTGGAAAAAAATGTACTATAGAGACACACTTATGGCATTTTAGGCTGTAAAATCTAGTCGAGGTTTTCTAATGAGCAGCTTAATGGTTCAGGATGCATTTTAATATGTGTGACAGGACAGTTTCAGGCAAACCTTGGTTGATCTTAGTTGCAAGATTATGGGAGTTCTTAGTGTTGGTTTAATTAAGTGGCATGTTACAAGTGATTATTACGAGTTCCTTTCTCCTCAAAAAAATTCCACAGATACTTGGTTCATTGATGTAGGTCTTTGCAGAAAAGGGTGATAATCTTTCAGTGTCAGACAGTGTCTCACACACAGACGCTGCTCAATAAGTAGGTGTCGGGCGCATGAATGGACGGATGAATTCATTTATTGACCAATTATTCCCATACTTCAAACACTGCCGGAATCGATCAGTGCAAATATTTAAAATCAAAAAACACCTACTCCTTCCTACCACCATGGGGTTGGCAGACACATAAACATATAATTAAATACAAGACAACAAACACACCAGAGGTGTTTGAACACAAGTGCTGTGAATGTGTATGTGAGACAGTTGGGAAAAACCTCTGCATTGGGAAGATTTCATACATTCCAGACTCACAAAATGGGACCCATTTGGCTTCTAGAAAATATTCAATCATTTTATAAACAATGGAAGAGTCTACCAGTTTTGCCATTAAGTTTGCAATTCTCATGACATATCCTCTTAAAGGAATAGACAGCCATGATTTGAAGACGGTATTATTTTTAAACTAGGATACAAGGTCTCATCTATTAATTTTAGTTGGAAATTATTTGTTTTGTGAGAAATCCTGGGGTCTGGAGCAGAGAGGTGCTTCGGATCTCATTTCTGCCTGTTAAACAGTAGTTACAACCTTCTGCACCAGCAGCTCTGAGGGATTGCAATTCTCTTGCAAAATGTTGTTGAGCCAGATGATTCTAATTGTCCTGGGCCAAGTGTCCTCAGCAATCTTTCCCCTACTGCTAAATATATAAAATGATGGACTTTTCATTTTATAAACCTCTCGGTTCTCTTTTTAAGTAAAAAAAAAAAAAGTATAATTTCTTTGCCTTCATCTGAAATTTGCTTTGAAATTGTCAGTTAGTTAAAATCTGCCATGGAATAAATATCTACTCCAGATGATCTTTCCATAAGATGCGAAATAAAGTCCACTTAGCTGATGTACACAGGGAGTCTGTGGGGGGGAATTTCATACATTTGTACAAAGTAGACCCTCCATGAATCACTTGGAGGTCTCGATTTTATTGGGTTAAGGGAGCCTTCATAAAATGCTAAACCAGTTCTATAATAATTTGAAGAGGTGAGTGCTTAATAAGTTAGGTGCTTTACATTCAAAATGCTAGAAGTTTTTTTTGGGGGGGTATAATTCTTAAACCATAAAATTCACCATGTTAAAGCACACAATTCAGTGGTTTTTAGTATTTTTACAAGATTGTGCAACCATCATTATTATCTAATTTCAGAATATTTTCATCACCCCCAGAAGGATCCCTGTATCCATTAGACAGTCAGGCCCATTCTCTTCTCCTCCCCAAGTCTCTGGCAACCACCGCACTACTTCTTGTTTCCAGATTTGTTTGTTTTGAACACTTCATAGGAAAAGAATAACAATATCTGTTCTTCTGTGCCTGTTTTATTTCACGAAGTATAATGTTTTCAAGGTTTGTCCACTCTGTAACATATGTCAGCCCTCCATTCTTTTTGATGGCTGAGTAATATTCCCTTGTATGGGTATACTATGTTTTGTTTATCCACCCATCAGTTGATGGACGCTGGGTTGTTTCCACTTTGGGCTATTATTATTAATACTGCTGTGAATGTTTGTATACAAGTTTTTGGGTTGACATTTGTTTTTGGTCTCTCGGGTCTGTATCGAGGAGTAGACTTTCTGGGTGATGTGGCAATTCTATGACTGACTTTTTGAGGAATTGTCACTGTTTTCCACGGTGGCTGCACTACTTCATATTCCTACCAAGTGAAAGTTTTAAAGTTCCCCTTGGAGTACATAGCCTTTTTGGATAAAGTGTTGGGTGCATGAGTGTTGCTGGTCTAAAGCTGTGTTAATTCAATAAATAAAAGCTGGGAGAACAGGGATAGGTAGCAAGATGTCTTATTGGCTTTGTGATGGAATTTGTCTCACCTTGAACCCGGGGAACCCAGGGATGCCGTGGTGGCCAGGGTCTCCTTGGAGCCCCTTGTGTCCCGGCGCCCCACTAATGCCTGGGAAGCCCTTCTGTCCCGGCGGCCCCGGAAGAGGTGAGATGAACTGATCGTCTGCGCATTTACAGTCCCCAGAATCACCTGCAATGTGAGGGAGAGGGAGGGGCTCGTTATTTATTCACAAAGCATGGGTTAAACACTCTTCTTGGCTTTGCAGGGACAGGAGCATAAGCTGGGTGGGGGATTGGGCTGGGAGTGGGGGGAGGAGCAGAGGAAACACCACACTCCACAGCTATCATCTGGTCTTCACAGACCTGCCTGCAGTGGGGCCTGCTATCCCCATTTCTTAGACAGGCAGCGAGAGTTACTTAAGTGTGCATTCATGGTCTCCTCGGGATGCAGATTCTTAAACAATGGGACCGTCTACAGAGGTGTGTGCAGAGTGGAGGAATCAGTGACAGGACTGCAGGAAGCCACCATGCGGTCTCAGGGGTGAGGGGAGGAGACGGTGTCCCAGGGTCCTGGTGAAGGAAAGTTGTGGCAAGAGCCGTGGGCTTAGAGGCCAAGGTCAGGTGGAGAGAGAAAAACAGTGCCACCTCTCTGCTTCTGTCTTGTCATAGCTGGACTCAGGGAGCCTGGTGCTGGTGGTAGGGTCTGCTTCCCAGGGGAGAGGGGGCCCGTGGGGAAGTGATGATGACAGACGATGGCCCAGTGGGGTGAATGGTCATGCACAGATGTCTGATTCCTGCAGTCAGCCCCGTCCACAGTGGGGCATGCACTCACATCCCACATACACCACCAAGCCCGAACATGCGACCCACACACAGGAATGGTAGAGCTAAACAGGCGTCACTGTGGTCCCTGAGAGCCACACAGAGAAGGGCCACCTGGGCCAACCCTTTCCTGAAAAGGGCGTTGAGCTAGGGGCAGTGTCCCCGAGGTGCGGCAGGGACAGTTCATTCCGACTGTGCTTCTACTACAAGTGGGAGTGAGACACTGGGCAGGCCAGGGCACTCCTCTGAGCCTCGGCCTCTTCGCCCATTAACTAATCCTTAACTCAGGAGGTCATCCTGACCAAACCAGATGATCCCTCCACAGGCACTCTGCAGGGGACAGGCGCTTTGCAAATACTTGTTACATTGCCTTGCAGCTGAACACTGGATCTGACGTCAGCCTAAGAAATTACTGCTCATCTTTTTTGCCCAGTGCTGGGCGCTGCACTCCTTGAAAATTTGGTGACGAGGCTGGCAGGTGGAGAACAGAGAAGGGTGAGCAAATGAATGCTGGCGGCAAAGAAAACTTAACGGCCATCACCCGCCTTGGTTCCAGTGAAGTTTCCATAGAAGAAAGGGGTTGGGGAGTGGGGAACTGGAGGATCATGCTCATTTCAGAACAAGTGAAAACGGTGAAGTGGACTCAGAAGGGCCAAGTCACCCCCCAGCCCTGCTCCATTGTTCCCAGACGCCCCCTTACCTTTCCATCCTTTCTGTCCGCGAGCGCCAGGGAAACCAGGAGACCCAGGAATGCCCGCCTCTCCCGGTGTTCCTTTAAGGCCAAAAAGGAAACCTACGGAGAAAACCCACAGGTGCAGCAGGTTAGCACAGCCCAGGAGGCCCCTCATCTTGCCGAACCCAGTGCTGGAAGCTTTCCAGCGAAATCTCCTGACAGAGAGTAAAAATGTCCCCTACACTCTAATTTTACTCTAAAACTCGTCATCAGAAAGAAAGGGAGACTGTTCTGGGGTCATTGCTTTCAGGGATGGAAAGAAATGTGAAGAGCCCAGGAATTTAGTTTTTCTATTAAAGTCCAAAGATGAAAACCGTTCCTGGTGAGAGAAGTGGCGTCCAAAGCAAAATTCTGGATTTTTCAACCATATATTTTGCTAAAGACTTGGATTCTGAGATTACCAAAAGCCGGCTGGTTTCCCAAAGACAAGAACACAAAGTAAAAGTAGACATCAAAATTAACTCGGTTCCGCCCTCTCCCCTGGAACGGGTGCACACGTGAACATAGTTCTCCCCCCTGCACACGCCACACACACGTGCACGGGGTTTGTGGAATTAATGTAGATAACTTGTGGCCCATCATCTGGAGTCAGTGTGGTCACCTCCACCTTCCCGACCCTCACCCCTTTAACTAGGATCGGGGTACTTTCGAAGTCTTGCCACTGTGTGCAGGGCTCCGGTAATTCCAAGCAAAGCTATCTGGGCAAAGGTGTGGGAACTAGACTCTCAAAGCCGCCGAAACTCCAAGTCGCATTTGAGAGGAGCGCCATCTAGTGGGCGGACTGGGCTGCACAGGTCCAGGAAGCAGCCCTGCTGGGTGTGCAAGCCGAGTCCCCCTGGCCCGCTCTGTTCCCCTCACTGCTAACCCTGTGGTGCTCATAGCTCCAAAGAGCCAAGAAAATTCCTACAACAAAATTAAAATACACACTGCCATACCTGCCTCCTGGTATCTGAGAGGCAATCAAGGAAGCGGGAAGGAGGGGAAAACACCAATTAAAAAAGCTCTGCGTTTGGAAAAATGATACCAGAATTTCAACGTCAGAACGCTCCTAGGTAACTAAATCTCTACGGAAAGGTGGCAATGACGATTGTTCCACGTAATTTGATCTCGCTACGCGTTTAATACAATCTCTCTCATCCATCCACCTATACATTTATCCACTAAGCATTTCTCCGGTGCCGACGCTGTGCCCGGCAGTGTCGCAGGAACTGTGCGTACAGCTGGAGATAGGAGTGACGGGCCCGCATGGAGCTCACTGTTTAGATGCGGAGGCACAGAGCAGGCAGGCCAGAGTCCACCGACGGCCAGGGCTGTGGGAAGGGAGCTCAGGGGAGTAACAGGGAGAAGGGCACCAGGAACCTGAGAACCTGACACTTAAGTTAAGACCTAAAGAATAAAAGCCCATCGGCCAAGAGGGGGTGGGAGGGAATGTTCCCGAGAGGACAAGCTTGTCTACAAGTCCCTGAGGTAGGAAGAAGAGCAGCCCGTGAAGGGTGAGTGAGGAACGAAACTGCAGGAAGGGGGGTGAACAGGCCCGGGCAGCCCAGGGGTCTAAGGAAAGGGTTTGGATTTTATGCCAAGGGCAACAGGAAGCCGTGAAGGATTTTTCTAAGGAAAGAGTTTGGATTTTATGCCAAGGGCAACAAGAAGCCGTGAAGGATTTTTCACGAGAGAAGCAACACAATCTAATTGACATGTAAAAGGACACACTGGCTGTGGAGCCAATTACCGGGAGAGAAAGGATGGGAGCGGTCACGAGTGGGTTGGCTAGTCCAGCGTGAGATACCGTGGTGGCTCTGATCAGGACCAAGGCAGTGAAATGACGGACTGATTCAAGATGCAAGAGGCAGAATCACTAGGACTCGGCGATGGGTTCGCCGTGTGGGTGAGTGAGATGCCGCAGCGACTCCCAGGGCTCCGGCCTGAGCTGCAGGGTCTGGAGAGATGGGTGCGGCCCAGGAGAGGGGCGCGTGGGTGGGGGAGTTGGGGAGCAGGAGAGCCAGAGGTCAGTTTTGGACACACAAAGCGGGAGATGTCTGTGATACACACAGATTGTATGATACATGACGAGCTAACGGGTTGTATGACTTTAGAGCTCAGAACATGGACCTGGGCCGGAGGCACGATTAAGGAGTGCTGGCATAGAACTTGCACTTCAATTCATGCGAATGGATGAGTTCACTCAGGGAGAGAGTACAGAGAGAAAAGGGGGTCCAAGAATGAACTTCAAGGGACTCCGTCATCTACTGGATGGATGGGTAAGGGGGGAAATAGAAGAAAGAGCCAGCAAATGACCCTCAAAGAAATGGTCACTGAGATCACGGGAGGAAAGACAGTGGGGCATCCTGGGCGGCCAGAGGACAGTGTGTGAAGGAGAGGGTGTCAGCCGCGTCCGGTGCTGCTGATGGAGCCGAATGGAGCCCCCAGGATGTGGCTCCCGGGGGCACTGGTGATGGGGTGAAGAGCAGTTCAGTCCAATGGATGACTCTATGGTTTTATTTTATGTCTCCAAGCTCTTCCAATATGTTATGAAAAGCACAGTACCACAGGTAGTTATTTAATCGCAGATACCTCAGGGATATCAGCACTTTAAATGTGAGACAGAGATTGTGTGGGTTCCATAGCGTTTGTAAATCTAGTCAAAAAGGGAAGTGGCCACCGGGTGCCAGCCTTCCTTTCTCCTATTTTGTTTTTCTTTTATCTAATAAGTCAATAATTTCAAGAAAGTCCTACAGAATAGCAGTGTGCCTCTTGGATGGTTCCAAGATGATTTTCCAGAAAAGGCCAGAGGCCCTAACAAAACAGGCCAAATTTTCACTTATTCTAGAATAGACAGAGGGGAACCGCCCCATGCTGATTAAGTTAACTGAGCTGGAACTAGGAGTAAGCAAACATATTTAGCTCAGAAAAAAACCTGACTTCATGGTTTGATTTTGCTGGAACTATAAATCACCAAAAATTCTGATGTTCATCAGTAATAACACATAAAACAGGATGAAATGCAGCTAGCAAGAAAAAAAATCCAACAATTCATTCCAAGGGAACAGTCGAACTCTGTGGGAATCACGGTCATTGATATTAAATTTTGATTATACGTGATAATGTTTTAAAAGGCCATTACGGTTGGCTACGTTTTGTATAAGAGATTGCTCAAGAAAAAGGCGATTGAACACTGTGTTCAATGGGGTAAGATAAATATTCAAAGAGAACTTAAGTTGCAAGCTTTTAAAACTTTTAGTTGATAAAATGTATCAAATACTATGCCATCTATTTTATAAATTCTCTTTCAGTCTACAATATGAATCAGAAATAAGTTAATATGTTTACAGGTGACTTATGTTAGTAAATCATAAGTTTACGAAGTAAGATTTATAAAGCAAGATGGCATGTGTTTGTGTCTTGGTCAAAAAGGAATTTAGTCACAGGAATAATGTCAAGGTTGGCCTTCGATCACAGTCCTTTGAAGAGGTGCATATTTATGCTTTTAATACAGCATGTTCTGTTGTCAAAAAAAATGGAAACTCAACAAATATCATTTACTCAGGAAATATAACATTCATAGAAATGTAGCCATTATAAAAAATGTCACAGGAATAAATATTACATCCCAGGTAAAAAAAAAATTAAAGATATCACTGCTCAAACTATTGGCAATTTCCAGGGAAATACTTGCACCTAACAATGTTGAAAAAAATGTAAGAATCTGGTTTCTCCAGTCGAAGGAAAATTGGACACGTAGAGCCATATCAACTTAAAAATTTACTGTGGAATTCAAAACAGAATCGGAGAAGTGACTGCTGATCTTTTAATGAAAGAAGTATGTCCAGATATGATTCTAATGTGTCCACCAGTCTTCCTTCCAGAGATGGCAAAGAGAAGGAGTCTTCCCAAAGCAAGTAAAGCTTGGGTCTCTGAATTGACCTTCAACTGACATCAAATACTATCCGTTAGCAAATCTGCTGCGCCTCTCTCTGAAGAGAGGGAGCCATAAGAGATTATCAGGGGTGAAATCAGGGGATCTCAAGTCAAGTATTTTGAAAAGCAGAGGCTGCTAAATTGTGGTCCACGTGACACAGAAACAAATTGTAACCTCGTGTTCTTTTCTAATGCCTCAACTATCCAATCTCTTGAGAGGAAATGTTCCCATGAAGAGATTTTACAATGTTCAAAGCATAACTCTCTATACTCGGAAGCTGAAACGAAAAACCATTTTTGATGGCAAGTTCCAAGGCCGAGTGCATGCTTCCCTGCCTCCCGAGAGCATTCTCAACTAAAAGACCTGTCACGGGAAATACCACTTCGTGCTAAGACTTGATGATGCCCCTAGGTACCATGTGGGGACAGACTCTCACGCTGGTCTGCTCTTTTGACTTTCAGTCTTTCATATTGGCCTAGGCTAATGGCTGCCACTTCTTTTTATAGGTGGGGTAGCCATCCTTTCTTGTCATCAACTATTGCCACCTGTTCAGTTGTAGCTTTAGCTCTGCATAGGCCGGGAAGTCGGGTAATCAAGCCTCCTTAACATTGGTGGTTAAACAGCAGAGAGAGGCTGTGAGTTAAGATGTGAGGCCTCTACCCTGGAAGAAGGTGTCTGGAACTTTCAGCTCTCATCTGCTTCCAGACTGCACCTCTCTGGTGTTTCACTGAAGGACTGGTCACACGGGAGCCACCATCAGACAGCCCTTACTGTGTGATACGCAAGGGGCTGTGGATTCTCAACAAGTTGGCAGGGTTCTGCCCTTCTCCCATCACCGGCTTTTTCTGTTTGCACCGGGGAGCACCTGCTACACCCTAATCTGCTGCCTACTGCATTGGTTCACGACATTATTAGGCAGAAGGCCCAAGTGAAAATATGGCTACGGCCAGGCTTCTTCGTCTAGACACTGGAATGTACACCTCCCATGAGTTTCCGTCCACTTACCATCTGGTCCAGGTAGCCCTGCGGGCCCTGGGAATCCTGGGCTCCCTGGCTTTCCGTCAGTTCCTGGTGGGCCAGGGTATAGCGCAGGGATGCCGGGTTCTCCTATGAAGCCTTTGGGTCCCATTTCACCCGGAAAGCCTCTTGTCCCTTCTGAAAATACAACAGCATCACCAGCAGAGTGAAACTTCTGATATTTAGCAGCTGCGTTGGCCTTCCTGCCCAGAGGAGCCCACCAGCAGGACTAGTGAATTTACAGTCCATTCAGCAGCCTAACAGGTGGCTGGTGCCAGTGGTATATTTCATCACCATTTTCAACTTCAAAAAAGCCCCTCTTCTTGTCTCCAAACAGTGGCCTGAGAGTTGCTATCAATACTTGGTAACACCACTTGGTGACTGTCCATGCTCTTCCCAGCCAACCGACAAAATCATGCTCGTTACTCATCAGCGGCACAGTCTGACCTAGTGGCAGTTACTGTTCCGACATCCAAACATGGGTGCGAGACCCATTACAACTGCTAAACTCAATCTATGAGGAAGGGCACTGGTACCAACCAGTAAGGGGCCAGTGGTTTCTGTGAGGACCTGAGGGGGTGTACTTTCGGCCGTAGTTTTGACACTGTTGAGCCACCTTACCTTCATCTCTGATGGAGGTGCCTGGAAGGCCTGGTGGGCCAGGTTCTCCTGGTGGACCCCGGGCTCCTGACTCCCCATGGGCCCCTGGAAATCCTGGGTCACCTCTGCCACCTGAAACCGAGACAGACCTCACAGTAAGAACAGGACTATTGTGTAGGCCTCTCGACAGATGCTCACCTTTCCAATGAATGTATATTTACCAATGCCCTGCACACTGTGGGAAGCATGGTGGGGTCCACTGTTTAATATACGTTTTCAAGGAGCTCATTCCCAATCAATAGGGGTGAGACAAGATTCCTATACATGTCCTAAAACACGAGAGGAGTGCGTAATGCCAAAAAGATACAGAGAGGTTTCAAAGAAGGGGGAGATTATTTTGGGGGGAAATCTGATATTGAGGGACCACAGAGAATAAAAACAACAGCAGTAGCCTTTTGAGCTACTGCTGTGTGCACTAAGCTCGGCATTAAATGCTTTACACACATTTGATTCCTGTAACACCATGTGTCATGGGTAGTATCATAGTCCCAATTTTACAAAGAGGTGAAGCATGCGCTGGGGGCACGCAAGTGTCCTGGAGCACGTAACCTGACAGCTGAGTTTTGGACAGGGGCGGAGTTTGAGGGGATGGGCAACGGGAAGGAGAGGGCAGAGAATGGCCAAGGGAAGGGCATCCAGAGGGGAGATTAGCCCCAACTGAAAGCACAGAGCTGGGAGTGCTCAGCCGGAATGGGGTGTCGGGGTGCAGATGGGCAGAGGTGGTGGAAAATCAGGCTGGATAAGCAGCTGAGTCTAGCATGAGAATAAAGAAGGAAATGAGAAGATTAGGAATCTTCCCAAGTACCAGGCACTGTGCCAGGGGGCCAGGAGGCTGGAGGGGGGGTTGCTGATTCTCTCTGAGCCCCTCTTCCCCTGAGCCCCAGCTCCTGCCTGGAGTGGCTTTTCATAACTATTTGCTAGAGGAGTAACATAGGAATGCTTTACAAGCCTTATCCGTAAATAAACTCAATGTGGCATCACTCTGATCTTGGGCATGTTGGAAAAAGACACGCAACAGTAGTTATTATACCAACACATGGGTCACACCCAAGCAGGACAGTGAGTCCTTGACCCCTGGGCACATATGATAAGGGTGAGCCAGATGATCTACTGGGTATAGGAAGAAAGCATTAGAGCATTTTTATTTTTAAAAAAAATCTCATCTTTTAAAATCACTATCTGGTGCGTGAGTTTTAGCATGTACATTATTCAGTCATTCAGATAAATACTGAGCACCTACTAGGTGCCTGGCTCTGTTCTAGAAATTGGGGAACCACAGTAGTGTACCACACAGGCGAAAATCTCTGCCTTCATAGAACCTCCTATAACATGGATAAATTATCCATCCATAAATATATGTACGATTATTCGGGGGAATGCTCAAAGCCTTTTTTAAAAAACAGTATTTAGAAGATTGCACATTCAAAAAGGCCATTGCTCTTACCACAGAATGTGAATAATATTTCAGTATGGTCCTATCACTGTGACAGTAGACCCCCTTGTGTAAATAAAGGATTGTGCATGTGTTGCGGTTAATGGTCATCTTATTATTTTAGCTCAGCTTTCCTAAGTGCACGTATCTGGGGATTTAGTTCCCTGAAGTCTAAGAGGATGTGACTGTTTACAGATTATAGCTTGTGGTCAAGGCAGGGTTTTAGGCTGGCTAGCAGTGGGGTGTAAACACCTTGGTAGATATGGAGTAGGAACTAGTGGAGGTGGGTTGGCCGGCTGCCACGGAGGCCTGCAGTGCAGAAGGACTAGATTTCCTTAGCGATGCTGTAGGTGGCAAGGCCAGAACCTGCACAAGGTAGGCAGCACTGGAAGGATTTCCCACTGAAAGAATTTCTTGCCTGGAAAGTGGGGAGCACTCTCTCAGGCAGAGACAAAGTGAGGGTCTCCTGTGATGCCACATTGAGGTCAGGAGGGAAGGTGCACAGAGACTGAGATTCTACAAAGGTTGTGTTCTAAACATCTCTTGTTTGCTTTGTTTTATGTAGATAAATCTTTCTTGAAAGTTCATGACACTGTGTCCAGGACAGAAGAGAATGTCTATTCTCAAGCAAGAGAAAACACATACAAACCTTTAGCTAGAGAAGGGTGGGGGGAGTAGGCTGGTGGGCCTGGGGGGCCAAGATCACCCATTTCTCCCTGGAAAGAAAAAAGAGGGAAACAGAAGAACGTGAGTCCAGCCTTTTGGCATTTTGGACACTGCCTGTGTCCAAAGGCTACAGCTGCCTGAGGACCATGAGCTTGGCCTACTCTTCTGAGTGTCAAACCAGACTCTGCCCGAGGTGCTAACTCCTTCATGCTGAGGCAGCAAGTCCAGGATCCCAGACACACCAGAGACACCACGTGGGCAGGTGCCAGTATCACCTGAAATCCTCTTCAAACACTGGACCCAGTCAGGGGGCTGCTTTCTGCAGGGTGCGCTGTTCCATTGTTGATAATGGTATCTGAGTCGCCCCACAGGGTGGGCCGGGCGTGATGCAGCAACACCCTGGCACAGTGCCACCCTGACTGTAAGAGCTAACGACCTGGAGCCTTGCTGGGTCCCACAGGCCTAACCACGAGTTCCCGCGTCCTCACTAGATATGCCCCCATCCATCGGGAAAGGCTCCCTCCCTGGCTAGTTTCCCCATCAGCTGGTGCAGCTGCACCCCACCTGATCCTCAGCCTACTGGATTTCACTTCCCTGCCAGCCCATGAATTATCCAAACACGTGAATTATCCTTCCTTGGGAACCAAGGGTGCCCCACCCTCTTGTTACTACACAGCCCTTCCCACAGCCCTGCTGGTTCACTCTGCTCCGTGGGGTCCCGCTTGGCATGTAGCATCCTAAGGCTGAGATATATGTGACTAATAAAGGCTGTGTGCTGGGTGCTGTATGCCCAGTTATCTATTTTTATATAGGACAGAGGTTACCTCCTTGCCCGTTATGGTGAAGAGGAGGTGATCAGAACGCCATTCAAAAAAAAGAACTGAAAACCATCCAAATGAAAACCAAGCTCACCTTGGGTCCTTGGGGTCCCCCAGGGCCTGGAGAGCCATCCAGTCCTTTTCTTCCCTGCAGGAAAGATGTTTGGTGCTTATTTTTATCTCTATAATTTAAAGAACTGACCAAAAATACCATTATTATGTTTAATGAAACGAACAACAATTCATTAAAATCACCTCCTACCCAGCCTCTGTTCAATTTTTCCTGATTTTGTTCTCAAAAACGTCGTGTTAAAGTTGCTCTATTAGGATCTAAAGTCCAAACATGACATTTGGCTGATATGTCTCTTAATTTTCCCATAACTCATAGCAGTTTCTTCTTCCTTTCTACTTTTTTAAAGTAACTTTTTTTTGTTGCTACTGAAGAAACTGGGTCATTGGTCCTGCAGATATCCACCATGGTGGACTCGATCTACTTCATCCTGTGGGGCGTGTAACATGCTCCTCTAACCCCCTATCTCCTCTAAGTCAGCTGTTAGATCTAGAGGCTTCCTTAGGCTCAGGTTCATCTTTTGAGCAAGAATTGTTCATGGAGGGTGCTGTGTCCTTTCTACTGCATCATGTCAGGAGGCACAGATGCCGAGTATAAGTGATTTTATAGTTGATCAGTGGGGTTAGATGCTGACAACCTGACCCACCTCTTAAAACCTTCCTCCCAGATGGGTTTTGAAAAATTTCAGTTAACATCAAATAGAGCAGTAAAGCCTCCCCATTTAGAATGTTTTTCTCTTTATTAAAAAAATACAATTCTAGTGCTAACTATTGCTTTCTAATTCCCTCAAATATGTATCAAAAAAGTCATATCATACCTGGGTAAGTACATAAAGTTTTAAAAATAATATAGAAATTTATTCCATCTTGCTGAAGAATATGTATAGTAAGGCCCCCCCAATTCTGAATGCTAGGAGCCGATGGTCTACAAAATGGACATTATCTGATTATTGTACAAGATATTTTGAAATCTAGGAGCATGTACGCTGAAAGTCATGTTGTTTAGAATGAACTAAGAGGGCTTACTGCTGTGTTTTTCATGGCGGGCGGGCTATAATTTTAGACTGATTTCCTTTCACACTAGGCGGAGCTGAAGATTCAAAAGTGAAGGCAACTTTTTCTGATATTAAAAATGATCTATTTAGAGTCCATCTCATGAGATAGGTTAGGAATCATTGAAGAGCTTGCCAAGGACCGGGGAGTTGGCAACGGGACATTCAGTCTGAGCTGTGTCCAGGGCCGACCCAACAATCCAGCTCAAACAATACGCTGGACTCGGTCAAATCTACACACCATTCCATGGCACCCACGCCCGCTCAGCCATGCTGTGACATCATCAACAAGCAATAACAAGCATCCCCAGAACTAATGAAAGTTCTATCAATCTCTGGAGCAGTGAGGGAGGGGTAGCTGATTGCTCCAGTAGAGAAAGCAAAATCCTCTCTTGGCTTTCAACCCACCCATGAATCCTCTCTTTTTTGGCCCATCCTATTTTGATTCGTTGTTAATGTTGGTGCTCACAGTTGCTCCTTGGAGCTGCCTTTGGTTCCTGGTTCCATTTTACATCCTAAAACCAAAGCCTGTGAGCACAACTGAGATGTTAGTTGAGGAGTCACGGCAACTTGGCAATAAGAAAGCACATGGTAGAGAGGTCCACGGTACAGCGTGGCACTAACACACAGGAAGACTCAGCCATGTGTGGATATCCTGGGCATTTCCTATCTTCAGAGCCGAGGAAACAATTTCCCCACCGCAACTGAGATGGCTCACTTAATTGGAAGCATCTGCATCTCCCCCAGTTGTTGCAAGTGCAAAAAGCAAGCTGGAAGTCGTGAGCCTTGGATCCTAACATCTGGACCACAGCAGTTAGACGCCCCAGGCGGTCATTGCCTGGTGAACATCTTTTCCTTCATTAACTTTTGAGTTCTAGGGGGTGGCTATGTTGAACTACATTTAAAAAAAACACTGTAACTCCTTAGTGTTGGGTGTAGAAAAACAAATCATAATTATGATTTCACTAGACATGGCAGGCACTCAAAGCATTAACAGCAGTACTTTAATTACATAGAGTGGGTTGAAATGGATTACTTTTAAATGCTGATGTTTGCTTTGGTCTTCTGTTTCTTTACAGCACTTTGGCTTTTAGTTGGGGGTGTTGCATGCATAGTGGCTGGTTCCAGGTACGCAACCTTTGGGGGTACTCCTATAAGTTACTAATGTCATGAGAAGATGAGTGTAATGAGGGCAAACCTATGTCATCCCTGGGCTGAGTTTAGGATAAAAGGATAGGAACAGGAAAAATAAGGTCACTTGAGGTTGCAGGAAGGAATCAAGATTGGTACTCATTGTGAGCGGTCAGAACCAGAACATGAGGTTAAGAGCTGGTGGAGGTCAGAAACCAAATCTGGGAGGCCAGGTCCCCTCTGCAGTCTCTGAGGAACTGATGAGACCCACTGCTCACAATCAGGATCCCTATGGCTCTCCAATCCTCCCATGTAGCCATGAGCATGATCAGGGAAGTCATGATTTGGGGGCTGGTAGGGGCTGGATGAGGGATAACCTGGAGGGAGAGAACCACAGGAAGGAACCAAAGGGCTGCTTTGCAAAAATGAGAAAAAGGCAAATAATCTGACTCTAGCATTTCGAATGCTCTGGGAACGAAGCATTATTTATGCTATGGTAAATGCAGGTAAAATTTTAAATGTTTTTTATCTGGGGCAATTTTTTTTTCTGGAATTCCACAGTCTTCATATTTGATTTCTGTAACATGTTTCAGGACTGGAGCAGACTGCATTTCATGCATCATACTTACTTTCTCTCCTGGTGAACCCCTTTCACCATCGGTGCCAGGGAAACCCTGGGTAGAACAGAAAACAGAAGCAATAAGAGGTTAGAATATGCAGTAGTGTTTCCTGGAGGGTGTCATCATGGCAGCTGATGTGGACGCAAACAAAGCACTTTTCCACGAAACTATAGAAACCATCTGAAACCCTTTCTATTTTCTAAAGGAGATGGCTCATTTTAACAACACTTACATATAATGCATCATATCTACCACTTAACGAACTATGGGGAAGTCCATAAAGACGGTATGGTAAAAATGATAAAGAAAAAAAGGCCTGGGCTCCAATGTTCTCATGAGTCTCTGTTCTTACTTTTGGAGTGGCTACCATCCAAAGGCTACATTCTCTTCTTCCTGACCCATGGTTTTGGTCACATTTTCCAGCTCACTGCAGCTAGGTTTGGCCAGGTGACTGAGTTCTACCTGATGGAGGGAGGTCTGAAGTGGCAGGTGCCATTTCAGGCCATCATCTGAAGAAGGTCTGCCTTAGGGCGTGGGAGCCACAGGTGGCTGAATCTCCTTGGGAGGGGACACTGCCCTGCCCCAACCTCACCCCGCTAGGGACATTTTTGTTAGATTCTTAGGGCAGCAAGAAATGAACTTCTTGTGTGCTGGAATCAGTCTACATTTTTGTCACCACAGATTAATTTCGCCTAATTAATACAAGCAGAAATGTGTTTGTGTTCTGTTCCCAGCCTTCTCCAAAGGGAGGTGCACAGTTTTAAGTACTACAGCTAATGGGTGATAATGTCGTGTCAATCAAGGTAGGCTCATCTCGCCCACTGTAGCCAATGGCCTTCTCTGGCTTGGCACGCAGACAGTGGGGGATGCTGCTTGCGTGGAGGGGAAGGGGGTGTGAGGCAAATATCTCTGCACTTTTGGCCTAACTTTATGGTGAACCAAAACCTGCTCCAAAAGAAAAACCAACACCCATTTTACTATCAAAACAAACTACAAGAAGCCACAGTTATAGAATGCATGTTTTACCCGGGATCCTGGAAAGCCAACGATTCCCTCTTCTCCCTTCAAGGAAATGCCCTAGGAGAGAACACAGAGACCTCTCAGGAGCTCCTTTCCTCAGCCCCCTGACTGGCCTGCCCGCCTCTGGGGCTCTGTTGCCGCTCAGTGCGATGGCAGGTTCCTAGGGATCCGGGAGTTTGCCTGGATCTTCACATACCCGGGATATCGCCTCTCACTGCCACGGAGTGAGTGACGATGTGGGAGGAGAGGGAACACCAGGACAGGCGTGACAAAGATTAAAGAGAGGAGAGAGCGACCACACGGTTTAGATCCCGCGGAGCAGAAGCCAGCCCATCGTGCCTGCCCAGCCCCCTCCACCCACATGTCTTCTTTTTTAAAGCATTTGGCTCATTTCATGAGCTTCACAAAATGTTGATTAGCTGGTGTTTTTTATGGAAAAAAAGGAAGATGTTCTAAAACTATTTTATGAAAAAACAAAACAAAAGGAAACCTCATAAAGGTAAATGATAGTATTTCCTTGCTGTAGACAAATGGATTGGAAACCAAGAGTCCGCGGGTCCCTATGACCCCTGCGCATCCTATCACGGCAATAGGACAGCCAAGAATTGGGGAACCACCAGTGAGAAGAAACCTCTTTATTGCCTGACTTACTGTTACTCCTTGTTCCCCAGGAATTCCTTTTTCACCCTGTGAGGAAAATGAAAGAAGAAACATGCGTTAGTTCGAGAACAGTAATATTTAAAATCAGTCAGGGTTTATGCGGTGAAGTGAAAAGTATTGGATAAAACTTTAAACAATCATGAATGAACTGTGGCAAACGTCTAAACCTTGCAGCTTCGAAATTCAAGGGAAAATGTGTCATCTCTTCTGAATTTTCATAATATATATTACGTCATGTTATTTTTGATGTGATTGCAAAGCTGTCTCTATCTATGGGGTTTCCTTGGTCACCCCACAGTTTCAGGCATGTAATTCCATCTTGCGGTGGGAGAATATGCTCAGAGAAAAGCCCTGAGTGATAATATTCCTTTAAATAAAATGCTATTAGGAGGGTTCTCAGAGGAAAGGACACATTTGGAATGTACTGACACCCCAAGCAAAAGTGGCTTTGGAAAACAATGTCAACTCTAGATGATTTATTTATTTTTGTCACTTCTCTTGGTCTAAAATGGTGAAAGAAATGTAGTGATCAGCCAGGCCCCCGCTCTCCATCACTGTTAGGACAGCACCTGGATCCCCGCAGGCTGGCCAGGCCCCAGCCCTGGAACCACCCCTCTTGGGGGTAGTAAAGGAAGGAAATATTTCGGATGCTTGAACCTCTATCTCAGTGTGGATCGAACCTGCTTTGGTCTCCCTCCATCCTCAGCTCCTGGAGATGCCCTACCTGGCTGACCGTCAGGTCACCACTAGGAGCCACAGGTCCACCCAGGATCCATCCTGCCTGGTTGTCCAGGGATATCTGTCTCACTTTCTCAGCTGTACACAACCACCCACTTCTGACTCACTTTCCTCTGGCACTTCTGCCTTGCACCAGCCACCTTCCAGGCCACTTTTGTCAATGGTCAAGTCATTTATCACTCAGCCACGGCTGCCCGGATTCATTTCCCTCTTAAGGCAGTGGTCATGTCTGCCTCTCCCATCCATGACCAAGCACCCAAACCCCACCTTGACAGATACTTGCATGCTGGGAATTATATGCTATGTTCGGAGCTTTTATTTTGGTTCCCATTGATTGTGCCTGACTTTAGACTGGACATTTCACCTGTGGCTTCCTGTAATCCACTCCACAGCTCTACAAGGTCAATATTTCTATCTTCAGTTGGTACAAGGGAAGGAAAAGACTTAGGGAAAGTTAAGTGGCCCATCTGAATGAGTCAGTGGTAGAGCAGGATGGTGATTTTTATTGGACTCCAAGGGTATGTTTTTAATTAAATGAAACATTAATAGACAATACAAGGGCCAGAAAATGCATTTGGATCCAAAAAACCCCCACAATCATTCTCTATGTCAGCAAAGAGTAAAAGTAGGTTTGTTTTTCAGACAGCTGTGTTTTGTCAGATAGTTCCATGTACTGGGATTGAATTATGCCCTGACCACAACCTATGTCTACACTGGAGACTCCCATACTTAAGGATACATTTGAGATTTTTAAAAATTGGTCTTCATGTTGTTTCAAATTCATCACAATTGTTTAAGATGAGGGACTGATGCAGTTAGCTGACTGAATCTGTGGTTTCACAGTGAGCCCTTTCCCTCTTTGAATGCGACTGTTTGAAGAAGATTGAAGGAAGTCACCTCTCCCCCACCGCCCCTCTTTTTTCTAGTTCAGCTGGGAATACAGTTTATTTTGGCGAAGCCCCTTTACCTTATACTTGTCTATTTGGATCTGGTCCTTCGTGGGCCCCGTGAACCCGTCGAATTCTGATGGAATCCCATTGGGTCCTGCTTCTCCTACTTCACCCTGTGAATCATTTATAAAGCAGAGGTCTTTACATCGAGAAGACGCTACCAAACTTCAATAAAAGCACGATCCCACCACAAACTGCTCTGCATATTACTTATCACATGCACACCAATTTTAAATTTTCACTTAAGATGAACCATAATGCAAATTTATTTGTATCCCACTTGCGTTAATAATCATTTAGAATGTCTGCATAAAAGCTGGCTAGGTTGTTCACAATTTGGGGCTGCACTTGCTTCTGTGGAATTACTTCCTTACAATGGACTTCTATCTAAGGAAATTATTAGGTCTGAGGGCTAAAGGTCTTTATGGTTCTTGATAGGAATCGCTCTACTGTTTTCCAAGATTGGTACAAAGATATAAGAAATGCCTATGAAATGATTACTCCAGTTTTACTACTACTTCACCACATAAGGGTGTTTGTTGTTGTTGATTTTTAAATCCTGACCAAGGATATTTTTTCCATTGCTTTTCAGAGAGAGTGGAGGGGAGAAAGAGGGCGAGAGAGAGAAACATTGATGTGAGAGAGACACACGTGCCCCTACCAGGGCCAAGGATCGAGAAGGTACATGCCCTTGGCTAAATTGAACCTGGGACCCTTCAGGCTGCGGGCCCACGCTCTAACCACTGAGCCAAACTGGCTAGGGCAAGGGTGTTTTTATATAATAAAAAGCAGTATCTTTAACCAATATAATATCTAAAGATGGCCTTAATTCGCATTTTTATCATTAGCACGAATCACTTTTCTATGTGGTGCCTAGAAGGTGAACCCTATAAATCAGCAACATCACTGGACAGCCAGCCTAACATAATATGCTGGTTTGACCTCCCAGGGCCTAATTGATACAAAAAGAAAGTTACTGTGTTTTCTTTTGCTATTTCCATGTATAAACTATATAATACCAATTTATGCCCAGAGATCACATAATATGAACAGGAGCAAACTGACATGATGTGTTAGCTACAGAAAGTGGTACTCCACAGTGTATCCTGAGTGTCGGCTAATATTATACCTAAAAAATACTTAAATTGTTTGTTCATCTCCCTTTCACCCTTGACTTTTTTCTTTTTATTAACAATTTGAATATACTTCTTGTAGATTATAGACATTAACTTCATTTTCATTTTATATAATGTGACTATTCTTCCCTTCACCCAATTATTTCTTCCCAGACTTTCCCCCTTTTAACGTTATTTTGCTATTGTGCTATATTTCATTGTATAGGAATTTAAACTTTTATGTATTTAGATCTCCCAATGTTTTTCTCTTATACAGTTTCTTGTATTAACACAAAGAACAAAGTCCTTTTCATACCTGAGTAGGGAAAGTTTGATGTGCTGTTCAATCAGAAAGTAAAATGTAAAACAAAATGAAAATGCTCAGATGATGCCAAGAGAACACATCTGTTTTATAGGCTGGGGGTGAACGTGATGGGGTTGTGTGTCGGTGTGGGTGTTCACTGGGTGTGGGCGCCGTGTTGAGGTTTTCCTATACATGATCTCAAGGGAGTCTGTCGAACACCATGCGGTCTTTGAATCTCAGCACTGTGGGCAATGACAGAAGTCTATGTGGTCCTCCTTCCTGTCTCTGAGCCCACCCAGAGGTGACCACATCACACAGTCCCCGAGCTGGCTCCACGTTAGTCTGTGGCTCTGGCTCCAGTTTCTTGTCACCCCTGGGCTCCCCATGTTAGAAGATGGCTGAGGTTGTGTCTACACCAGAGGTCCAGGGCCACCCTAGATGGTTCACTTCTACTCTTTTATTGCTCCATAGCTATCATTGAAGCGTGTTTGATAACGTGGCACTTTATAATAATTATTTCCTGTGCAGATCGCCTCAAGAGAACAGTAGAAAACACAGTCATTACATTTTCTTTCCTAACTACTACACACTGCATGCATCCGCTTGAATCTGTTGTTTCCTTTACCTTGTCACCCTTTTCTCCATAAAAACCAAGTCCTCTGTTGCCCTGAAAGATAAATGAGTTTCTGTAAATTTTTAAAAGTCAATAATCACAGTGAAATTTTTTTTTTCTAGAAAAAGAAACCCAAAATCTATTTGCAATATCACTGGACAACCATCCTTGCATAACATTCTGGCTTCATCTCCTAGAAACTAATTGACACAAAGAGAAAGTTACTCAAACAAAATAGGAACAGATTCATAGATACAGAGATCAAACTTAGGGTTGCCAGAGGGGAGGGGGGTTGGGGAGATGGGCAAAAAAGGTGAAAGGATTAAGAAGCACAAATTGGTAGTTACAAAACAGTCACGGGGATATAAAGCACAGCCTAGGGAATATAGTCAATAATATTCTAATAACTATGCAGAGTGTCAGATAGGTACTATATTTATCATGGGGATCACTTTGTAAATTGTATGTCTAACCCCTATGCTGTACACCTGAAACTAATACAAAATAATACTGAATATAAACTGAAATTGAAAAATAAAGTTAAAAAAAGAAACTTACTGTCTCTTCTTTTGCTATTTCCATCTGCAAACTATCTAACAAAAGTCGGAGCCTAGCTATCACATAATTTGAGCAAATTATTTGCTCTCAGGAGGTGGTGCTTCATCGTGTATTATGAGCATTCACTAAGGTTGATGAAAATTCTGGGGTTCATAAAAACGATATGCTATTCTTTTAATGAACATATGCTTTTGAGAAATTTTTTATTTGATACTCTAAGCAAAACCTCAAAAATAGCGGACTAAGAGCAGTTATTTTGTTACCCTTGGGAACAGTTTACTGTTTGCCTTTTGAAATATATTCTACTCTTCAAACATCCTGATGATCAACAAACTGCGTTACTGAGTCTATACTTGCTGTATGTACTATAACAGCCCGGGGTCCACGCTAAATGCTTCACTCTCTTTAATCCTCTGCAACACAGGATGAGTTTGGATGTCATGGGTGGTCCAACTGTCATATCCTTTGACCAAGGCCTCATAGCTGATGAGTGGCAGAGCTTGATTTGATCCCAGATCTTTCTGACTTTTAATCGTTCATGCAGTGTTTCTAAAGGTTAGTGACACAGAGCGTTTCTGCAGGTCTGGCCCCTTCAGATGCAGAAAGCAGGCATTTCCCCGCCTGGGTCCCATGTTTGAAGATCATGATTCATTCTCTCTCCTGCCTCAGCTATTTCTCACTCTGGTAAGATAATCCTAATTTCATATAAACATTTCCTACCCTTTAATGATTTTAGGGGATGGTGAATTTTGGGGTTTTACCCAACGTCTTCATCTACCTTTTAGTCTCAGAGGCAAAGGTAGGCCAAGTGATTCAAGCAAATATTTAACAGTTTCACGAGTGGAGCTGCCATGGATGGGAGAACTGACTCAACCCCGGTGTCTAAAAGAGGCACATATGAAACACGATACAGGCACACCTCAGAGATACTGCAGGTTCAGTTCCAACCAGCACAGTAAAGGAAATGCCGCAATAAAGCGAGTCGCATACATTTTTCGGTTTCCCTGTGCATATAAAAGTTCTGTTTACACTGCACTATGGTCTGTTAAGTGTGCAATAGCATTATGCCTAAAACAACAATGTACATATCTTAACTGAAAAATACTTTATCGCTAAATAAATGTCAACTGCCATCTGAGCCTATTGTAAAAATGGAGCCAATAGACTTGCTCGACTCAGGGTTGCCACAAACCTTCAATTTGTAAAAAACGCAGTATCTTCAAAGTGCAGTAAAGCGAAGTGCAATAAAACGAGGTACGTCTGTATTACATTATAGTAATAACACCCTTTTTTTGACCTCCAAACAACCGCTTCTTTCCTGGGGTCTCTATATTCTCATCTGGATGAAAGATCATGCAGGGGGGCCCTATCTGATCTTTCTCTCTGAAGTATACCTCCCTCCCCCTCAATGCCCAGAGATTTTCTGAAAATAAAAACAAAGCATTTAATTAATTTTTGCATTTCAGCTTCTTTCCCACCTGGCTGGGAGCTGAAATCAAAGCACAGAAATGTGGCCAGGCTAGATTAGAAAGTGATTTGCTTGGGTCCCTGTGGTCCCTTTGCCTCATGAGCTGGTTGTCCAAGTCACCAGGAAGTGACCTGGTGGGGGGTGAGGGCCGTTTGTGTTGCAGCCAAGTGGGGATCTGAGGTGACCTTGGGGTTGGCCGCTCCATCCTACATCCGCTTCTCTTGGCTGTGGGCCGTTCCCACCCTGCTACGGGCTGCCAGACAGTGGGGAGCCCAGCGGTGGGGGCAGCAGCCCTAACGAGCTCCAGCCCCAGCCGGAAGCCGTGTCAGAGGTGATGGGAGCTGGGGGCTTGGGGGTGGTGGCAGCTAAGGTCCCCAAAAGGTCACTGAGATGGGATTTTGGTGGAACAGGCATGGGAATGTGCAGGCTGGGAGATTTCCTTGGCCAAATGCAGGCCACAGAATGGTCCTTAAATATTGGTAACAGTAGCTCAGTAATTGATTCATGTTAAGATTTCCCCCCCAAATTTTAAAAATTACAGTTTACATTCAATATAGTTTTGTATTAGGTGTACAGCATAGACTCATGTCAAGTTTTGATCAAATACTTCCCTCACCAACTTCCTATTGTTTGTCTTGGACATTTATCCAACTTTCACAGATCATACTGAACTCTAGTTCTGTCTCCAAGCTCTGACAAGCCACCTACTTTGTTGTGCTCCAACCAACTTAATCTTTCTCTGATAGAAACAGTACAGTTTTGGGCTCTAGCCTGGGTTGAAAATCATTGACTCTATGTACCCCTAGAGGCTGACGTCACACTCTTATAGAATCTAATTACATCCAGGAAAGAATGCCATCGGTTTCCCTACACAAACAGAGCTACATTTTGTCAATTCTTATAAATGAACACATATGGATAAGTATGAGCTGTCTTTAAATCTGTGTTTCTAATCAAACATTTACCAGTTTGATTATCATAAAACAGGAATGTTATTGATTTGCAAACAACACGTCATTCAGCAAATGCACTAATTAATGTGCCAGCTACTCCAGAGGTTACCACTGGGTTTATCCTTGGAGTTTATAACACTAAGTCTTAAAAACTTACAAAATGGTTCTCATCGTGAAATACGCAATATAAAGTTGTCCACTAAGAAGTTATATGATCCAGAAAGACATACACAGATGCATAAGTCCCCGCTTCCTTCTCCCTCACGCCCAACAATCAACTTACTGGCTGTCCTTTTGGTCCAGGGGGTCCAGGAGGTCCCTGCACAAATATAAAGATATTTGTAAACTGTTTTCTTTATCCCAGGACCCAGATAACATCTGCTAGAAAGCTCTGGGAAAGCCATTCTCTGTATATTTAGAACACCATGTCAGTATGTATAGAGGTTTCTGATACATTTGTCTCAGCAGGCAGGAAAGGCTGGGGGGTAGAGGGCTGGGGTCAGGCCCAGTTCCCAGGATTTGCCGGCTGTCCACGCACAGCTGTTTCGGGTTTGCTTTTCTGAGTTTAGACTTTTGATTTCACCCATGTCCTATTCATGTTTGCTCTGCTGCTTTTGCAAGGTCCCAGGACCTATTACTGTAGAGACCGTGTCTCCTGACTCCCTCTGGGGTCCCTCACGGGCCACTGTCTAGCACTTTTTGCTGGTAGGTCAGCAAATGTTCACAGCACTTTTTGCTGGTAGGTCAGCAAATGTTCACAGGCAGAATTAATCTACAGGCCAATACTGCAGGGTTGAAAGTCCACCCACAAATAAAACCACGTGTCTATCTGCAACACATTCAGCGTCAACACCACAATGACAGTGAAGTTTTAAAAGTGCATGAAAAGAATAATTTGTGTCTAAGTACAAAGAAGTGGACAGTCAGGGGTTGTAGGTGATTTTAATGGTCATATGAAGAACTTAAAGTTGTCAGATCAGCTAAGGACCCAGCAGGTACACTCTGTTATTTCATATTTCCCTGAACTGTGTGTTTAAAATATAACCTCCCCTCCCAACATGTGGTATGTATGCTTTCAGTCAACAACCATCATCATATAATCCTTGTTTCATTCCATTTGGCCAAATCTTTTGCAGTGGAGGGCTACATGCAAAAATGACTTTCACAGCACCAGGGAAACTTATTTTGTAGAAACAAAATTAATTATTATTATTTAGAGTCTGAAGAAAATTTATGAGCACTCACCTCCCCCCTATTAGTATGACTGAATCTTTCCCCACACACATGTCTCCATTGTTTCTCAGTATCTGCCAAGAAACTGCTACCACAGTCTTCCCTGCGAGTGTCCCTTAATCTTAGCGGTGGGTTTCTGTGAGAAGGTCTCTCTCACCTGCAGCCAAAAATCTCTCCTGTTGTAGTTTAAGGTTTATTTGTCTTACTACTAAAAAATGTGGGGAATGAGAGTGAGAAACCTTGACAAGCCAGTTTATCTCCTGGGTCCCTTGTGTTATGGTGAAAGTGGAATAGCACCAACCAGTGGCAAGTTTAAATTTTACGTAGTTGGCAGTGATCTGATGACCACAAGTTTTGAGTCCTCAATCTTTCAATCTTAATAGAAGGAAAATGTATGCAAGGGATGACCTGTTTTGTCTTGACTTCTTTTATAGTGACCACAAGCATCATAGCTGTATCGTGAAACTTTTGCCTGTATCAACAGTTGAAGAAGCTGCCTCTCTAGAGGATGCCTTGAGGGTCCAAGAGTGAGCACATGCACATGGTACTTACTGGTCTTCCTGGAGTTCCAACTGGACCCATTGGTCCCGCAGGCCCAGGGCGGCCAGGAGGCCCCTAAGGACAGGCAGCAAGAGAAGGCTATTAAGAGAGGTTGCTTGGTATTTGGAGTCCTGAATTCTTAAGAGTTTTCTTGGAATATTCTCCAATAAAAATAAAACTTACCTGGAAACCGACCAATCCAGGCTCTCCAGGTTCACCCTAAATGAGAACAAATAAGTTTAAGAGATAGTTTTTAAGCTAATCCTTAGATTTAGTTAACATTATGTAAGTTATATCAGCTCTAACAGGACTTGGTGATGTTAATTAACCTAACATCTGGGGTATTGTGAATATGGGAAAGGGGTGCACCCACAATTAAATATAAGATTGAAAAACATCATGAAAGGAAATAAAATGATTTTTAAATTAATCACGATTTTGGATTACTTTATTCTAGTATTCTTCTACTCTATTCATTCTTACAACTCAGAGTTCACTTGGAAATTAATTTTATTAATCAGAAATTTACACTAGATCACTTAATCAGGTCTCCCATCTCTAGCAAACTTACCCTGTATCTGTCGCGGTCCTCTCTAGACAGTGCATAAGGTTCACCTTTCTGCCCTTTCGGTCCTTGGGGCCCCTACAGTAGTGCATATATGGTAGAAAGAGAAAAAGGCAAAAAAAGTCCATTAACATTCAGAGCAGCTATTGTAATTTGAATGATTAAATATTGACTTTTATGGGGAATGTCTAATTGCTCTGATGCCTTATTTAAATTATTCCGAACACCAATCTCTACATTCAACCACAAAGGTGAGACTTTTATTTTCATATTTGTCGGATAGTATCTTTCTTCAAAGTTAAAGTGGAAATACTTTGTAGGATCTGAATTTCTCAAAAACCCAAATGAACACTCAGTAAACTGATCCTTTATTATACCAACATGCTATATTTTTGTAATATTATTTTGTGTTTTCTTTTGTGTACTGAAAATATTAACATGTACATTGAAGCACCATTTGTGGGAGAGATACTGGGTCATTCTTTAAAACTGAAAATGTGTTGAGTATACATGACATGTGCATACATATGTACATGTATACATGTCTTAATACCTACATGTAAAATCAGCAATTTAAAGTAATCAATATATTTGTTGATGATATGTTATTTTATTAGAATAGACTAGAAAGTAATATAGCTTATTGAAAAGTTGAACCACATAAAAAAGAGCCAAAGAAGTGAGACTTGGAAGGCAAAGGTGTTAAGTCTCACAAGAAATTGATTTATTTCAGGGGAAACAGGTGAAGGGTGTTTATGATTGTTCTTCCCCCACTTTAAAAATAAAAAAAATTTACCAAATAAAATGTTAGCATAATCCTGAATTTGCAGTACTTTGGTGGTCAGAGGGTAGCCATAGACTACTGAAAAAATATTTCAATATTCTTTGCGAAGACCTTGAAAACTAAATGAGGCCATGAAATAGATTGATTTTTGAAAGTTCTCCCATTAAAAACAAACCTCCTGTATTGTAGATGCTGAAGGATATCACCGTTCTTTTTTTAAAAAAATATATCTTTACTGATTTCAGAGAGAGGAAGGGGGAGGGAGAGAGAGAAACCTCAGTGATGAGAGTCACTGATCGGCTGCCTCCTGCGCGTCCCTGACTGGGGATCGAGCCCGCAACCCGGGCATGTGCCCTGACTGGGAATTGAACCCTGATCTCCTGGATCTTAGGTTAATGCTCAACCGCTGAGCCATCCCCGGCCGGGTGATATCACCGTTCTTTCATGGCACAAAGGATTTTAGAATCTAATGAAGATGGTGAATAATTTTGCCAAGCTTTCAGCTTTTTACATTTTAGTCTTACCTATCAGTCCCTGTTATCTGAACGGGAGCATGGGAGGAAATGAAGTGACACCTGGAGGAATGGCACAGTGAACAATGCAAACCAAACCAATTATTTTCTGGCTAACATCTAAAGAACAAATAAGGAAAATAAAGTTATCTGAATCCAGGAAAATCATGCCCAGATATTTCTGTAAGCAGATCTCCAGAGCCATTTTTCCTCAGGTGTAAAAGGTGGCCCCGACTGGCGAGTGAGCAGAGGGCAGCCCACCACCCTCAGCATGTTTCTCTAAGACAATGCAAGGGTCCTGGGCGGGGGACTTCTGGGCCCCATGAAAAGGAGCTCAGGATACAGCATCTTCCATACATTTCTGCCCACAAGTGCCAGCCCTCCAGGGTCCAGAGCTAACCATGTGAACGGCACCTGCTGTGCTGATGATACTCACAGGAGATCCGGGGAAGCCCCCAGAGCCGGGGATGCCCTGCTGGCCTACGTCTCCCCTGGTTCCGTTGCAGCCATCATGGCCAGGTGGTCCTCTGGGCCCACCTTGCCCAGGATGTCCCTGGGAAAGAGAAAAGGAAGTGAGTTGCTCAACCCATAAGTGCTTAGTTTTCATAATTGTGTGATCAACCAGTTTTAAATGTTCTCACAAGAGATGTTCCTGGCATGAGCCCAAGGGAAAAGACAGCTCAAAATGAGTAAGTGAATGCATGAACGAATGGAAGATTAAGTAGACAAAGGTCCATGGGTAGAGTTCCAGGCAGGGGAAAGGCCTTCAAGACAAAGTTCTGTTTCTCCAGGGTTTTGCTGAGCAATAAACTGTCTCAGCATTTCTCCTACCTTCATTGGGTGACTGGGAGGACTGTTTTGGCGGGGACAGGTAGGAGTGGATTACAAAATTTTTAAAAAAAGTCCCAGAAGCAGCAACCTTCTTCTCAGGGACAACAAAGATGCCTTTATCTGTTGTGGCCAACTTTTGATGGTGAGTTTGACAGACTCGTCTCTAAACAGGTTAAGAGATTCACACCTACAATGGGATTTCATCACTGGCTTAGCTATAGGTAGAACTGATTTCCTCTTTTTATGTTCTTTGGAAACACTCTTTTTTAGATTTTAAACATAAATAGAAAGCAAGTCAGGTGTTTTAAGCTGTCTGGTGAAAGCGGGGAGGCAACATGCCCAAATATCTAGAGGGTGAGGTGAAGTCTCTGGGCATCTCAATTGCATTCATCTGGTTCCAGGAGACATCCAGGGGCTGGGTTAACAATCTGTATTTATGTACTAAGAGACCACAGCCTGTTTTCTTATCTTTACACAAAAGATGTTTAGATATATGCTTTCTTATTATGTAATTTAAAAAAAAATTTTTTGATTTTTTTTGGATAGTAGGCCAAACATATAGTCCAGAGGGATTCTTGAGGCCATTATGATGTTGTTTAGATTTACTTTGAGAAATTTGGGGAATTTTGAGAGAAATGAACAAGCCCTACATAGAGTGCCTGTACTCTGAATGATACTAAGAAATACAGTGAGAAAAGTAGAATTTTTCTTTTGTCTGTACACCTTTTTGCCTGAGATGTTTGAAGCCATTGCTTTAACTTTTGCCATCAGAGAAGAGATCCAACAGCCCTTTCAGTCAACCCTAGCTGGTGGGAGGTCAGAGGAATCCTGACAGCTTCTGGAAATCGTGGTGCACAATCTCTCCAGCTGTTACACAGCCAGCTGTCTGATGGCCTTCAAAGTAAAGGGCTCTTTTTTGGGGTTTCTGAAAGCTGATCCTTCAAATCCAGCCTGAGAAAACACGCTCTGTAGGTGTTTTGCTTGAGATCTGTGGTATCCTAGGATGTTTTTGCTTAAAGTGAATCACTGAGTTTATTCTTCTCCTGAGTTATCTGTCTGCTGTTGGTCTTTTTGATTTCCTTGGAATTGATTTAGGTGATTTGCAATTGCATATCAATCTGACCTTCTCTTGAAACTGTGCTTCAAAGGAAAATTTCAGCCATGCTGAGCTAAACGGCCATCTCTTTTTGTTTATCTGATTAGATACATTTCTGTGTGATACAACTCTAAGATTTTACGGCACATCACTTTCTATACACGACTTCTAAGCCACTAAAATTACCCAGGTCCCTCCAACGCTATGCTCATTAACTGCTTAGATACAGTAGGTGACATTTAAGGTAATATGTAGTATCAGAGTTCTGGGGTTAGAGACTATATTTAGCAGCACCAAAAAGTTATCTGCTCATCATGGTCACTCCCCCATATGATGAGTACTTCCTTCTTTATTTGTGAAATATTTGCTTCTGATATTAAATGAGTATGAAGTGGAAAAACGAATTAAACTATGATACAGATTAGTTACGATAGTTTTCCGTAACGTCGCTCCATTTAAACTCAGATTTTAACTTCTAGAAGACAGACACTGAGGGATGGCTCAGAGGTCAGGAAAGTAGTTTAAAAATGGGTCATTTAGTTTGAGGTGATTGGTAGAAAAACACTTTCATTATTTATTTAACCCTTGAAATTTGCAGATTCTTCAACTGTGCCAATTTCTTAACATTCTGACTAATGTGAATGTTATTTCCTTATTTGTTCATAGCTGCATGTTCTGTAACGTATCTGGTTGAGTTCCCCGTCCAGGTAACACTTAGGATAGCTGGCACGTAGGTAATTGTGACATCCTTTATTTAGCTCTGACTGATTCCTTCTACTGTAGCAAAAGTCTTCTTGAAGGTGGAGCAAAAAATCTGAAGAAAAAGTATGAATTCTCTGGGACTACTCTCCACGCATGCTCTTCCTGTTTTCTTCTGCAAGGGGGCAGCCCTACTTGTGTAGCCGGGGGATGAAGATTCTCTCTCCCTGTGTGCACACGTCTGCATGTGTGCACATATGTGCACGCACACGTCCATAGCATGTGTGTGCATATGCATGCATATGTGTGTGTGTGTATGTGTGAGCATGGTGATAGAGAACATGTGTATGTAGGGCGAGGGTGCAGACATCTGTGCATATGTGCGAGGATCATGAAGCACACGTCCTTAAACTTTAGCAGTAGACAAATGGGGTGGGTCTGAATGTGTGATAAACACATTTATTCCCCAGAAGGAGATCTGCAGGAAGCCGGCCCTGGGAAATCTGCTCTCGGATCCCTGTGAAGAAGGCTGTGAGTCAGGCTGCTTTGTTTATTTTTTTATGCCACAGAAGTAAAGTAAACTAGGTTAGAAAAACACACTTTATTGCATTCTGAGATTTTCTCATGGATAATCCATGCTTCTTCTTCTCGTTTATGTGTGGTTACTACAAAGAATTTGAGAAGCTGCACAGATGTTCAGCAGGGCTTCATTCCATCCACGTTCTTGGCTGTGCTACTTTACATTCAGGTTGTTCTAGGGTTCAAACAAAATTTCGAGACTGGCTCCTTATCGAGCATATCTGAGTAATGCTCTAGCTTTTCATTACAAAACAATGTCCAGTTCTAGCAAAGTATCCTCAATTCTGAAGCCAAGTCTAGAAGAATGTTTACAAAGGAAACAGTCTGTCCAACATTTGACTGGATTCCAGGAGAAAAAGACACATATATAGCCCCACGAGTTTTATGTTATAAACAAAAAAGTAGGTTTAGCTCAAGATGTTTCTTTAGGTCATAAATGTATTGGTTCCCGTGCATACAATGTTTTAAAATTCTAATCTTACAAAAAACTTACAGGAATTCCGTCAGCACCAGGGAATCCAGAAACGCCTCTTGGTCCCTATAAAGAAGGCAAACAAACTTAACGAAGGTCAACACACCCACTGGCCCTCCATTAAATTAGAGGAAATACCAAGTTTTCCGTACCACATCTCCTTTTGGTCCTATGATCCCAGGAGAGCCTCTTTCACCCTTGTCACCTTTGCGGCCCTGGAGTCCTGGGAATCCTTGTAACCCTGGGGGCCCGGTGTATCCCTGGGGGCCCACTGGCCCTGGCTGACCCTGTAGAAACAACATACATTCAATTTCCACAGTTAATAGTAATGAATGAGCACTTCCAGTCATGTTGCTTTGAAAACTGCACTTTTCATTCTTAAAGAGCTATTAATCTTCAGAGAACATTATATGTAAACTTCCGTCCTGTCACCATAGCCACAAAGTGATTTCTGGCAAAGGAAAAATCACAGAGTTTAAAGGAAAAAAATTATTAAATGTAAGAGAAAATAATCCTAAATTACTAAAGTGATGCTATTGTGAAATGATAACTTTGGGGTGGAAAGAATCGACTTCCTGGTTTAAAAAAGAAAAAAAGTCCTTTCAGCATATAAAAAAATTCGAAACAAGTTTCTATGATTTTTATCTCTACCTCAATATAATGCATACAGTAGATATGGGATGATATGAGAAAGAATTGAAAGCAGAGACTTAAACAGATAGTTCTATTCCCATGCTCACTGGAGCATTTTTCACAGTAGCCAAAAGTGTCCACCGACAGACGAAAGGATAAGCAAAGTGTGGTCCATCCATACGGTGGACTACTATTCGCCTCACAAAGGAAGGACATTCTGACACATGCTACGACATGAGGAAACCTTGAGGACATTATGTTAAGTGAAATTAACCAGTCACAAAAGGACAAATACTGTGTGACCCCACTTATAGGAGGTTCCTAGAGCCATTAAATTCATAGAGACAGAAAGGAGAATGGGGAGAGGAGATGGGGAGTCAGAGTTTCAGTGGAGAAGATGGGAAAGACCTGGAGATGGAAAGTGGTGATGTTTGCACAACAGTGTGAATATATTTAATGCTACTGAACTGTACAAAAAGGGTTAAGATGGCAACTTTTATGTTATATATGTTTTACCAAAATAAAAGTAAAAAGATTGAAAAGGGGGTCTATCTCTCTAATTAATGGAACTAATTTATGTATTATAGTTATGTTCTAATGAACCTCCCAGGTTAGCCTAAATTGAAAAAAAATTCTATGTCTTGTTTCTTCTTTAAATAAACGAGTCTGCTATTTATTCACCAAAAAGAACCTTTACTCGCTAAGCCCCATCTGCTTTCACATTTCAAATTCCTGCCTTGCCTTTAGATCGAGGGGGGGCTGAGCCATTATTTCTAGTCTTCTCTTCCATTGCCCGCAAGTAACTCTTCCTATGTAGGCTGTGTAGCTAAACAGTCTGTTAGTCATTACAGAATGTTTATAATCTGTCTGCAACATTCCCCACAATTGAGGTGAAGCAAACAATTTCAAAATGCAGCCCCAGCTGCCGTACTAATGTCACAGACAGACAGGCATAGAGGGGTGTGGGGGGATCTCGCCTCCGCATTTCGTTATCATTCCTACGCAGCTCAGTCCTTTAGATGTCCCACTTCCCCAGCGTGGGGGGAGCAGTTAAGCCATCTCTTTGGGGTGGAGCATACAGATGGAGATTAAGGTTTCAGTTGGTGGAGGAGACCTATCCCAAAGCTCCAGAGGGGACCCCTGACTCCTCAGACAAAAAGGATTTCGGGGAAGCCCCCCTCAGGGCTCTCTCTGGGTAAGGTCAGAGTTTTAGAGCTAGTGGGTTCTCCTACTCTACCCTCCGCATGTTCTAGAAGAGTCCAGTCCATGCAGAAATCAGCAGATACTCAACGAGGGCAGCCAGATGGCTAGCATCTTACGTTGTGGTGAAAACAACGTATTTAGTATCTTTGAAGAATGTGATAAAAATGAGGCTTCTTGGTTGAAGGAAATTGTGCTCAAAGACAGCCCTGATCTTGGACACATGACACCCCAGGTTCACTCTAGTCGAGCTCCAGTCAGGGGTCTTAATATGCTACATTTGTTGTAAGTTTGGGGACAAACTATGCCTTGATTCTGATTTTTATGACTCCCAGTTGTGCTCAATTCTGTTTTGTTTGTGGCTCTGCTAGCATATAGCCTTCTTGTGATCATATACCAGGCCCCCAAGCCTTACGTTCCCTAATCATCATGAGGCTCGTCAGTGTTTACAGGGAGTGTCTTTTGGGGGATAAAATGTTCCTCATTAGTACTGTCATTTTTTCTGTCCATAAACTACATCTCTATTCAGGGGATTACTGCATGGAGCCAACTAAGGGGAACATCCACTACTCATCAAAATGGAATGTATGTCTTAATGATGAAAAGCCACATGCTTGTCTCCCATTCATTAACCTTTCCTTAATTCCCTTTGATGGGGAAAGTGACTAATGACGTCATGTACTCATTTTCCTTCCATTGTCAGTAAACGTCTTTTCACCCATAAAGTTTTGGATGGGACGTCTGACTTCTGGAATAAAACTCCAGTCTTTCCTTTTCTGGAGCAAGTTGTCAATTTTTTTTTATTGAGGTGAAATTCCCATAACATAAAACTAACCATTTTTATAGCAGCTTCGAGCACATTTGCAATGTCTTCTATCTAGTTCCAGAACATTCTCATCATCCTGGAAGGGAACCTCACATGGTTTGAGCAGTCACTCCCCATTCCTCCCCATCCCCAGTTTCTGGTAACCACCAGTCTGCTTTTGGTTTCTATGGATTTACCATTCTTGATATTTCATATAAATGAAGTCGTATGTATGATATGTGACCTTTTTTTGCCTGACTTCTTTCACTTAACATACTTTTTTTGAGGTTCATCCATGTATGATCACGTATCAGTACTTCATTCATTTTTATGGCTGAATAGTATTCCATCGCCCGGACAGACCACTTTGTTTGCTTGTTGTAAACCGTTGCTATAAACATACATGTTTAAGTACCTGTTTGAGTACTTGTTTTCAGTTCTTTGGGGCACATACCTAGAAGTGGAATTGCTGAATCCTATGGCAGTTCTATGCTTATCTTTTTGAGAAACCATCATACTGTTTTTCACAGTGGCTGCACCATTGTACATTCCCACCACCAGTGTGTGAGGGTGCCAAACTTCTCCACATCCCTGCCAACAATTGTTATTTTTCATGAAAGAAATTATAGCCATCCTAGTGGGTGTGAGGGTGGTGTCACTCTAACGAGTCAAGAGTCATCTTGAGCTTCTGACAGACGGAATATCTCACAAAACTCCATCCAGCTTCTGCCCTGGGAGAGGGCGAGGGAGAGTCTGGAGAGAACCGAATGAGAGCCCCATCCTCTGGGACTGAACTCAGTCTTGCCCACAGTTCACGCCCTGTGTTGCTGGGACGAAATGGGCATTTTCGTGAGGATCCGGTGACCTTCAAATGCATGTTTCGGTCATCCGGGACTGAAATTTTCCCCGAGGATATCCTGCCCATGCTGGCATCTTGTGTTTGTCAAGAGCAGTTGGAATAAGCAGGTAAATAAAAAGGATTTCCCTCTGCGCTAATTAATCATCATCATTATCAACTTCCATCCTCAGTTGAAAAGTCCCAATTAGAAAAGTTATTTCCATCTCTTCCTTTCCCTTTGTAATAAGAGATGTTAAAAATAAAAATTACCCCAGAAAGAATAGGATTCTGTTTAAGTGTTTTTGCACAAATCACAAAAGCTCATAAAATTCCTGCAATATACTTAATAAAAGAATTTCCACAAAATATTTCTTAAAAGCCGACAGACCGTGTATTATGCCCCGTACCACCAGAGAATTTGATTTGTATAGATATATTACTTCCTAGGAGACAGGGTAATGAAAGGAATCATTGAATTGCATATCCTCTGGGATGAAGCAAGGTTACACGCCTTAAAAATGGGTTATCTCATTTTATCCCCACAACAAATGGATAAAGTAGGCATCTCCCCTGTTTGAGAGAGGAGAGACAATGGGGGCTCAGGACAGTTTGATAGGAAGAACTGACTTATGCAGTTAGGTCTGGGGAGTGGGGCTGACTCTGAAGCTTCCATCTTCCATCAGACCTTCTTGCTCAGGTGAGGTCGCAATAGCCACCCGGGAGCTTGTGAGAAATGCAGCCTCAGGCCTGATCCAGACCTCCTGACTGGCACTGGACATGATCCTCAGGAGGTTTCTTAACACAGTGATGCTTGAAAATCACTGCATGAATCAATCCTTCCTCCCTTCCTGATGTTCTTATGGGAGCAGACAGGTATCTTTTATTATTATTATTATTATTATTATTATTATTATTATTATTATTATTATTATTTATTGAATTTATTGGGGTGACACTGGCTAACAAAATTGTACAGGTTTCAGGTGCACAATTCTATAACACATCACCTCCTACACTGTTTTGTGTGTTCACTACCCCAAGTCAAGTCTCCGTCCATCACCATTTAACCCCCCATACCCTCCTCCACTCCTCCCATCTGTCAGGTATCTTGCAATAAAAAAAATCTCTTATGCATGAAGTTGGATCTCAGAAGGAAGGTGAGGCTTAGTGAGTCAGACAGAGGAAAATCTAATATTTATGTCTGTTAAATGCTATTTCTAATTAAATGTTTCTTGGTCTAGGCTTCAGTAATATCTGCCCCAAGATGGAATGAACTTTGATCACTGTTAGGAGGGATGGTTGCACAATGCCTCTCCCCTTTTGAAATCACTACTGGAGTATGTGTGGGACGTCCAGGGTCAGTTTTGGGAGTCTAAGTCTGAAAAAGTGGACAGAATGAGTCCAGACTTGACTACACATTGCTTAAATACCACGGCTGTGCAGTGAATGCACTTTAAGTCCTGAGACACTTACTAAGCTTTCATGAATTTGGAATTTTCACTTCCGTAAAAGGGGCAAAATATAATCGGATATGCACACGTGTAGAATAAATCTACAACTTCACACTCGAAAGTAAAGGTAAAGACCAATGATTAATCAGGGCCCCAAGAAATTTCACATCCATGCAGCCCCAAGGTGGTGCCTGTTTGCATTCATAGTTTTGTAACCTTAAAACTTGCCTTGGGTAAGGAAGTAAGAAAAGCTTCATGTATCAGGAAGGGATAAAGAGAGATGTTTCCAAGGATAAAACCTGCTTCACTGCACAGCAGGATTTTAAATCTGTAGTACAGCATTTTCCTGGTACAATAAGA